GATATACTTTTAATTCAAAGGAAAAAAGTTTTTTCAATTCAAAATTTTTTGTCTTTCATTTCAAATTCATAAGTTTCTATATTAGTTCTATTTTTTATATTTTACTAATTTGAATTCAATCTTTTTATCCAAATTTAAATTATTTAATTTTAATTCAATTTTCCAATCTTTTAATTTAATATATTTATTACATTTATTTTACAACGTAAAACTTGATTTGAACTACTTTAGAAAATATGTGGATTTTGATTAAAGATTACTTGCGTTAATCAAAATTCGAATTTCAGTTTTTTATCCAATTTCAAATTATTTAATTCTAATTCAGGTTTTCTTATATTTCAATTTCATATATTAATTACATTATTTTACTTTAAAATTTTATATAATTATTTTATCTAGTGTTTAATAATAGAAAAAAAAAATTCATATGCTCATATTTTATAATTCGCCAAAATCTCAAGTTTTTTTTTCATCCTTGAAGTTTTCTTTTCCAATTCAAAAGCTTGGATAAGAATTGGTGGTGGTACTACTACTACTGCTGTTGCTGCTACTGCTACTACAACTGCTGCTACTACTACTACTACTAAACATATAGCTTAACACATATTTAGTTATTTCAAGCTTAAATTTTCATTCTTCTTTATTTTTGATATAAAATATTGAATTTTAATTTTATTTTTAAATTCTCTTTACCTATTTGTACGTGTATAATTATTTTTATAACTATCTTATTATATCCGAGAATTTAGAGGCAAAATTTAGAAGTGATATAATTTTATCTTTCAGAAAAAAGCTTTCTCAATTCATTTTTTTTATCTTTCATTTCAAATTCATAAGTTTCCATATTAGTTTTATATTTTATCTTTTACTAATTAGAATTCAATCGTTTTATCCAAATTCGAATTATTAATTTTAATTCAAATTTTCTTATCTTTCAATTTAATAGCTATTGGGTAAATCTTTGTCTTACAACCTTTACATATTTTATTTTATAATTTTTGTCATATGATATTTGGTAGAAAAAGTTCTATTTAGACTATATAAATTAGTTGAATAAAGTTTTAATCATGGCTAATACATAATACATAACCAACGGAATACTTATAACGTATCCATTACCTGATAAAACAATTTTTTTCCACACGAAATTTAATATTTTCCTTGTGTTCGGCTATAATGGAAACTCCTAAATAACGTCTTTCTTTGTTCTGGTTTACAAATGCAGGTTTTCATTTTTTTTTGCTTTGTCATAGATAGACCTCACTCCTACATAAAAGAGCTACGTCTGCCAAGGAAGACTTTGGAGGCAGAAAAGACTAAAGAAAGCATGACAGAGCCGCGAGGTGGAATTAAAATGGAAACAATTTTAATTCCATTAATTATTAAATGGAAAAAAAAGGAATGTGTGAGAATGTAAATCAAGATTTGAATTAATTTGTTTCCATTTTACTTTCATTAATTAATCATTTCTTTGTTCTAAGTTTGTCAAGTGGCTTCTCAATAGCTAGCCACTTGGCTTAACCACAATGCAAACTTTATTCCTTTAATATATATATAGATATAGATTTTCGTTTCAAGATTGGGAGGAGAAAATATGGAGGGGGGGGGGGGGGTAGGGGGAGGGGTGGAGTTTTTTACTTTCGGGTTTAACCGTATAGGTCGGGAT